CACTCGCTCAGAGATAATGTTTGCGCTGCAGGGCAGTGAGGGAGCACTTCACCCTGCTTGGTGCTAGGTTTACCACATACATAAGCTGCTGTCTTCAGTGAATCGAGCCCTTTCTTCCCAGCTTTTGTTTACATGATCTGGTGTCTCAAATTTTTGCAGCGGGGACGCTTCCCCAGCTGCATCATAATGGTATGTTTTCTGTGTCGTTCATCAGTCCTTTTTCAATTCTTGAACACATTATTTTTGTCTTGACCGATATCTGCTCGACTTGTTTCTACACCCTTTGAAACACGACGATGCATTTTGCAACATCTTCACTGCTTGTACCTGTACGCCCCCCCCTCCTCCTGACGCCAAAAACAGAAAACGCTAGAAGCAGACTGTGCCCTCTGCTGGTCAAACTAAAGTATCACATCGCAGCACTTTTTTTTTGTCTAATCGACGTAAATTGCTTTGTGAGGTATCATTGCACTCCTTTGAATACTTGAATACTTATATCTACTCTTTTTGTATTTTGTATTCTAAGTTAAGTTTAAGCTTTAAGTTGTATTTAAATGGACACTTTATATTTAGGTTAAAATGTTTCATCTACCTGCACTGTTGTTAATTTACTGCTCTGTGTGCCTTTGAATTGCCCCCCAGGGACAAATTAAGTTTTTTTAATTGAACTGAATTGAATTGAATTTGAATTTGAACAATGAAAAATTAGTTTGTTTTTGTCCTGACAAGCCTCTGCAGAAGACTAAAGAGCCGATGCAGTGATGAAGCGTTTGATTGAGTTTGTAAAGTCTTCTACTCAGCAACATAGAAGTGAATCTTCCCACACTGCTGTGATTGACAGCTGGTGTAAATAAAGACCTGACTAACACAGAGGTTGGAGGAGGTCTGTGGCTACGCTTGGCGGACTCAAATTAAAAAAGTTGTAGCTTTAACAACATAAGATCCGTGCTCACTCCTCTTCATTACTTCTCATTAATTAGAGCAGGATAATTTGATCCTCTGCGGGGCCGCAGAGTGGATCGGGTGACGTTGGGAAAGGGTTCAGCTTAAAACCAGGTTCAGTCTGTGCTCACGCTGTGTGTGTGTGTGTATCATCATACAGAGATCACATGTGTGTATCTGAACAACTCTGAGAGTGTGTTTGTGTGCGCAGCTTGTCTCCAGGTTTGTGTTTCTCCTGCCACGTTTAGTCCTATCGGCCACGCTCTATATTTAGAGAAGAGGTCGCAGCATGGGAGACGCTTCAGAGAGACGTGAGTCTGGAAGGAGGTCAACATGGTGACTGAGACGAGCTGCGAGCAGGATAACGAGAAACCAACCGGGGGGAGGGGGTTATGTTTAACAGAAGGAGAGGGGGGTCCTCAAGTGTCAGAAAACCGTCATAAGAGTTCAGCAAAGACTGACTTTAAAGTCAGATCGCTGGAGGAGTCCAATCTGCATGTAATGTGATGTTAATGCAGCTTTCTGTAACTCATGCTGCCTTCACATGCTGTCGGAAATATCAGCATTACGACTTGGCTTCTGTAAAGCAGAAGGTAAAGGGGGGCCGGGCGGATGGGGTGGTCCGGCAGTCTAAGTATGTGCTGGATCGTATAACAGCGTGTAACATGTAACTGACACATCCTGGGTGCAAATTTAGCCGGGACCTTTGTTGTATGTCACAGCACACTCTCTCTTTTCCCTGCAGCTCGCATTCACAGATCACCGTCGAATAGGAGGTGAAAATCTCATCTCTCAAAGACGGTTCATAACACAAAACGTTTCAGTTTCTGTGGAAAAAAAATGTTTTTGGTTGAGACGGTTTCAGACTCAAGTTTTGAAAAGTTTTCTAAAATCTTCACAACTGACATGAGTTTACTGTTGTGATCTTTTATGCGTCCTCTTTGTGTGTTCACCTTCACTTACCTGCTGCAAATTCCTAAAAATATAAATAATAATACTTCAACAGGAAATGAAACAAAAAAACCCACTTTTAATTCTACCCCCATCGTTGAAATCAAGCTAATCAAAATTTGTGGAAGCAGAGGTTACAGAATCTGTCACAATTAGGAGATCTTCTTTTTTTTCAGAGTAAGAGCACTAAATGAAGCTAATTGTTTTTTTTAAAGGTGGAGTCAGCAGTGATGTTTGTTAAAACTTGGCCCCTCCTCCTGAGTTCATCGGCAGTAGAAGCGGCCGCCCACATTTACAGCTTGCACCTGCACAAGCTACCTGAGAATGTTACATTTGTTGAACTGGAAAAGCCGATAATGTAGCGAGCGAGCGCAAGCTGTATCTGATTATATTTTCTCTTCTTTGCTGCTTTGTCCACAAAATTTGCCGGTTTGAATTGCGTCCAATCACTGAATTGTATCCACTCCTAAACTCACCTGCTGCGCTGTCATTGGCTGGAGAAAACACACAAGCCCCACCCAGAAACATCCCGAGTCAACGAGAACAAACCAAAGAATCAGAATGGTGCAATGTATGCCACTTCGTTAAACTTATTATTCCCCAGTATGTTCTTCTCTTCTCTTCTCTTCAGGTGGATGTCTGAAACGCTGTAAACTAAATAGTGAGCCCCCCCCCCCCGAGGGGTGCATGTGTGAACGGCCTCATTAGCTGAAATTTAAAACTCTTGAAAGACGAGTTCAGGTTCATTTTTCAAACTGGTAAATCTCAGATACCAAAACAAGGCCGGGGTCAAACCCGCAGCCAGTTAACGCGGTGTGTCTGCAGAGAGGTGTGAAATGGGTGGCGGCCACTGAAAGCTGAGAACGTGTCGAGCGAGCAGAAAAAAAGAAGATGCAAAAAGGAAACGTGAAATATTCATGTGGTGTTTAATAATAAAATGAAGTCATTTCATACTCAAATGATTCGGTTCAAAAAAAAGTCACAGAGACGGTTTCAGAGTCTGAACACAGAAACACGTGGTGGAAAAAAAAAACACGCTGAGATGATGTCACCGCCGTCTAACCCCGGCTCCACTATGGATCTATACTGTACAGTTTATATACTGCTAAAAGAAACTGTGTTCATTGTGCTCATACAACACAAGTTATAAATACATATAAAGTGTGAAAACAAAGGAATCCAACATGGCGTACCTTTACAAGAAGAGAGGCAAATCAAATGTTTCTCAAGTCTGTCAATCTAAATGTTTACTGATAAATAACAAAAACATCCATCAGACAGACCTGCAGACGTTGTAGGACAAACAACATAAGATCACACATCACTGAAACACAAACAGGTTTCTTAAAAAGGTTCTCAGATCGGAGGTTCCTGAGCAGACGGGGGGTTTTGATCCAGCAGTTACAGCTTTAGGCGACTCTACATCTTTACTTTAGTTCTAATCTCACATTTGATTTAAGCTCACGGTGAATATGAACATGACTTAAAGGCAGGGTTGGTTATTTTCTAAAAACTAGCATGATTTTTAAAGTAGCATTCCCTCAGTGCTCCGTCTGCACTCCCTCCCCTCTGTGCTCCCTCTAAAGCCACGCCCCCTCACCTACATGCACAGAAGTGGACCTCAGCTCATCTCTGTCATTGTGTAGAAACTACGTCGTCTCATGTCTCATTCAGTAAACTCTCAGTTAAACTCCTAAAGTCATCGGTGACGAGCTTTGAGTGTGAGCTAGAGCACGCAAGAGGTAGAGAACGAGCAGGGAGACAGGGAGGCGTCTGATTGGTTCATCAGATTGATACCTCATGACAGACATTGGTTGAAGTTTTTACAGACTTACAAACTGATACAGATGATGGATTCTCTTTGTTCCTTTTTCAGAGAACATGAGTTATTAATTTCTGTCAGGACCTAAAGACAATTTACACCAAAGTCTTTAAATAGTGGATCTGGAGGAAATGACCAACCCTGACTTTAATGCAAGATAAAAACAGATCTGACCGGCTTAGCTTTTCTTAATTAGCACATTAGCATTCAGGTAATTAAAACAGGATTTGGCTGAAACTACGTCTTACATACTCAAAATATACAAACAGCATGCTAACCTGACTGTTAGCATGCCGTTAGCATCATACTAAAATACAATCAGAGCTGCGTTCGATGAGCTAGCATTAAGCTAGTGCGACCAAAAGGAGCTAATGTAAATGGTTCAAAACTTTATCAAATGATCAAACAGTAAATTGCCTCCGAACCCTGCAGGATGTTTAGTAAGACAACACAGGAGTGATTCCCAAACACGTCTGAGCATTAGAGATGACATCATCTTTCACAGAAACTAAGAACAGTCAGAGTATTCAGAGATGTTTATGAGAACACCAAACCTCAGAGACAAAAGCAGCAAAGTTGCTGATAGCAGCTCTTCCTGTGATGGAAAATGGCCGCTTTTTTCATTGACGTCTGGTGGCTTTGAAGGCTGCGATACAAGTAATTGTTTATACATACTGGTTTAAAAAAGGGGTCAAATAAAAACTATTTCTGTGGCGTTTTAATGCTTATTGTTGTCAGATAACTTAAAAACAATCTGAGCCTGGCTGTGCCAAAAAATTACTTTTAATGAAGTGCTTTAATAAGTCCATGTGTGCAATAATAGCCAAGACTCACTTTAAGACCATATTTTAAAGGGGGTACGGGATAGAGACTTTGCTCGCTTCTCGTTAGCTTTTTAGATTATAGCACCATTAAAGGCTTTATATGTGATTTTTTGATCCAGTAGATGTCGCCCTTGAGCACCAGCATGAAACCAAAACAACTTGCGCTGCATTTTTGTGTTAGCGTGCTAATGCTAGCGATCTTTATTATGCTGGTATCTTCACACTGCATGTAAATTTACCTGAAATGAGCGTGATCTAGAAACACAGTTAAGCAGTGAGTACAGTATGTTATTCTTCTTTTCTCTAGTCCCTCAATTAAACAACTTTTATACACGAGGGGAGGAGTCAGCCGGCTGTCTTAACGATGTAAACAAAGTGAAGATAGGACTCTGAAAACTCTGAAAACATCACAGACAGTGGGACTCGGGTGTTACACCCATTGTAGACAGTCATGACTCACAGAGTTATTTTCAGAGGATATACTTGATTTATATTATATTTAAATGTGAAAAATCGTGTACGCATTAGCAGTCTGAGATCCTGAGTCACACAGCGGGAAATAATGATGCACAAAGAGAAGTTTTTTCTGTGCATGGGACATGTCGGTGAATCTCTGTAAAAGTTCTCGTTGTTCCTTTAAAATCACAGATAAAGCGATCTCAATGCTCAAACATCTTTAGGAAACCTCCTCGCCCCTCTCTGCACCGTCCCGCCTCCCAAACAGAAAAGGGCTGATGAAAGTGCAACTCCACCTCCAGGCCACTAGCTGCTGCTGCTGTCCTTCTGAGGGAGACACCGCCGCCAGGGGCTGTACGGCAGAGCCAGCAGCAGGAAGAGGATCCCGCCCACGATGAGGACCGCCCCCGCACAGCCGATACACGACACCGACCAGGAGAGCTCGTGGTGGAGGGTAACCGTGTGGTCGCTGGCCAGGAAGGCCAGGACGGACTGATGGAACACCAAGAGAGAGAGGAGCACCATGACACCTGCGGAGGACACGGCGGGTCTTCTTCACATATCGTGTTTGAAACAAAACAATAAAAAGATGTGTTGTGGATTTGACCTCAGCTGACCTGACAGAATGAAGCAGACGGAGCCCGGCTTCAGGAAGAACAGAATCTCTTTGCTGAGGGCCATGGTGATGCATATGGACCCCATCACCATCAGGAAGAGGCTGAACAGAGCCAACATGGCCGCCGCTACGTTCAGACCTGCACAAGAAAATACAAAAAAAAATATGTGATAGGAGGAAGCTGTGCTCAGAATACCTAGACCAGTTTGGGGATGACATGCAAGAGTTCATTCATCTCCAGCAGCATTTCTCTATGAGTTGTTCGAATTTGAGAAATTCCGCTTAGCTCGAGTACACAGTCCATGCTCGCTGCAATCCGTTAGCGCCACAGCAGCCATAATCATCTGGAGAACTACAAGATCACGCGGGAATAAAGAGAACAACGTCCAAACTACGTGTAGCTTTGTCTCTCTGAGGATGATCCGTTGTTCATCCTGTTTTGACGTCATGTTGATAAAGTTATGTAAAATACGATCAGGAGTCTGTATGTTGGGTTTTATTTTGAAATTGACCGGACGCTCTGTGCGTTTCCTTGTCTGACTTCCTGTCTGGGGTCTTTCTGTTCTGTCAAGCTGGACGCTCGCCTGCACCTTTAAGAAAAAGCTAAAGACCCAGCTCTTTCATGAATACCTACTAACTTAATGATGATGGTCTCCATATTATTGATGATGATGATGGTAATGACGATGGTTTTTGTTTTATAACGATGACTTATAAGATGGTTTCTATACTGATTAGAGCTCTCAAGAACTGCCCTCAATGTTGTGCTTTGCCTCTGGTCACTTCCTGTCAGCACCTGTGTGTCCAATCAGACTCAAAGCTGATCGTTTGCTCTTACTCACATTGTTCCCTTTTTTGACAGACGGGGACTCAAACCAGGAACCTCCTCACAGAGAGGACACAGAGCTAACCACTGCAGACCTATAAAACACCATGTTACGATGAATAAAGGAACATGCAGTGAATGACTTTTTGTTCCTTTTTGTGCTGCCTTTATTTCACTTATGTATCTAGTGACAGAAGATTATCATGGAACAAAACATTATGTGTTATTCAAACGCTCTTGTCTGTGTTTGTTGAATCCTTCCAGCGGCTCGACACCAGAGAACAATCACATTTCAGCATACATCTGCCTCTCCTCATTCAGCATGCTGCACTCTGTGATCTTAATGCATTATGTAGCTGCCAGGGAAATGAGAGGTTAGACTGCAGCTTGGAGACACTTGAACGCAGCGTGGGCGGAAACAGATTTCAAAAAACACTCACAAAGCAGACAACGAGTAGCTGCGAGGAGGTGAGGGGAGAGGAGGGGAGCAGGTGGACAGAAGGCTGAAGGATACAGAGCAAAGGTAAAGGAGAGAAGGATGCACAGAGGGAGAGGTGGGAAAAGAAGGGGTGAAGAAAAGGAGGGAGTGGGCGACTGAAAGGCCGAGAGGTTTGACTCACTCTTTTTGGTCGTCTTCTGAAACAACACAGCGTTTTCCCCCGTGGTGAAAAACTTGAAGTAGGTGCAGTTTGTTTCTGCAGGAAAAAACACAAACAGTTAACAGGAGGAACATAAAGGTGGACAGGTAATCTGCTTCCATCTTATTGAGATTCAAGGAGCGACATCTCTCCGTCTGTCCTTTACGCTTTGGCTCGAATCATTCTCTCCATCAAACATAATCAGCTGTGAACGTCAATAACGAGACTGAAGGTGACAAACCGATGCTTCCCGCACAATTAGTCTAATGCTGTCCTGATAATGTGTTACAGCAATTAGAGTTTGGCTGTAAAATAGAATGTGACACCTCTATCTGTTCCCCACACAAGCAAGCCAAACACGCACACACATCACTCTTAATTAGTGAGATCAAAGCCAAATCCTCGATACAGCGTTCAGGTTTTTTTTTTCCCCCTCTGCAGCAGCTATCGAGGTTAAATCAGTGATTGTGTTGAGGAGCTGCACTCAGATCCCATTTACCAAAACAGAGCTCTCTGTCTGTCTCTGGTCAGCCCGACCATAACAGCACTTTCAACTGTCTGAATACAAAACATGAACGCAGCGCGATCCATTAAGACAGGAACATGGTTCATGGCGTTCCCCTCTCTTTGCAAACTGCTTTCATACTCGATAAGGTTAACTTCATGTTGTGCACGTTCAGTCCCTGCCTTGATGGAGCCAAACAAATTTTAAAGGAAGATTGTGCGACTTTTTGATCCAGTAGATGTCGCCCCTTGAGCTCCAGCATGGAACCAAAACAAACTGCTGTTAGGCCACGCCTCCTCCATACTGAAGCCTCCGCCCTCCTCCAGAGACACACCTCCAACCCCCCCTCCACTCGCGCTCACATGGAGGAGTTATCAAATTGGAACACACCAAAATTAAGCACCATTAAGCTGTGGAAAAAATAGTCCTCGGCTCGAGCTGCGATCACCTGTGTCCTGCATTGTTGTGTTAGCATGCTAATGTTAGCGCTCTTTAGTTAGCTCGTAGTCTCATATTGTTGTGTTAGCATGCTAATGTTAGCGCTCTTTAGTTAGCTCGTAGCTTCACATTTCATGTAAACTGACACAGAATGAGCGTGATCTAAAAACTCTTACTAACATCCAAATAATCAGTGAGTATGTTCTTCTTCTTCTCTCTAGTTCTTGACTAAAACAGCTTTTATACACAAGGGGAGGAGCCGGCCGTCCCGTCCATGTAAACACGGCTCTGACAACAACACAGCCAGCGGGACTCGAGCTTCTCCCTCATTGTAGACAGTCAGGACTCAGAGACACATTTACACAGGATGGACTGGATTTATGAGATATTGCGGATATTAAATAAAATCCACATCCTTAATTTAACTTTTTTTCCAGCATTCAGAGAGCTGTCGATGGTGTGTCTCCTCTCACCTGTTATATGTCATAAAGTCTCCGGCCACATTATAAACACTGTGACACCTCTCAGCCAGCTCTCAGCCAGCTCTCACTTCCCCTTTTTGTTCTGGTGAAAATTAAACATCTCTCCTGTCTGGCACCGATGATGAACACACACAGAGCTCCTGCAGTGGACTTTTCTCTGTCTGTCTCTGCTTTGCTTTTGAAGTGAGTCATTCTTCAGAAAAGGGAATTCATGCAGGTGACTCATGCAACAGGGGAGCAAAACTGCAAATAGCTTTAATAATCTCTCGCTGCACTCCATCAAAAGCAGTCCACTTAGACTTCCAAATGTAATGTTCAGCCCACAGACACCGTGCTGTTTCCACCAGCTCTTTCCATTCCACCTGTAGGAAGAAACTTCAAACCATGAAACAAAAAAAAAGACTTTAATTTGATATAAAGGAGCAATCAGCAAAGTTCTGCACAGTTACATTTGTTCTTCTGTCTTGGTCTTTCCCTGAGTGTTTTCTGATCATATGGAGAGCGTGTCATCGGTTTGATCGGGTCTTTTAAGTACTCAGCATGTCAACATCAGATCCCTTACCCCGGGTTAGAGAAACCCTGTTTGGCTACCTTCAGAAGTCTGAAACAAAAACATGATAATGTGGCATGTATACGCCTTATTCGCACGGCCTCGGCCAATCAATGAATCAATCATTATTTGTAGAGCGCCAATTCAACAACAACTTTTATCTCGAGACCCTTTACAAAAGAACACACGGGATAATATGGAGGGAGGATTTCTCTTTTGTATTCCTTTTGTGTTCCTGTTCTCCACACTTCAGAGCAGGCCGTGCATGAATGAGGACGGCGGTCGACATCATACTGTGACGTATCAGCAGAAGAAACATGACGGCGGCAACAAGAGCGTCTTACTCCTGGAGCTGAGAAGGAACTTAAGTTCTGTCTTTGGGTGATGAAGGAATTTAAAATAATTGGAAGTTTAGATTAAAGAGAGCGTCAAAATGTGCTGACTCATTCAAATCTGTGGGTTTCTCAGTGTGTGCATGTTAACACCAAATATAAGACTCATAACAGGGAAACTCAAGTCCATGTCAACACACTGATTGAGACTTTTGATGGATGTAAAACCTAAATAAAAAATGAATCCAAAGCCAAACATAAATCCAAAAAAACACTGGACACTCAAACCAGAAGTGCTGTTGCAGATGAGCAGAGCACCTCAATCATCCATAACGTTGCATCTCTTAACTTGACCTGAAAGCATCTTTTTTTTACTCCGACTATGTAACAATGACTCAGGCCGTTAGTCAGCCGGGGCGTTCATCCAGCCAGCCGTCAAACAGCGAGCCAAGCATCATTTGTCTGCCCGGTGAAATCAGGTAGACCACTCATTCATGCCAACTCAACAACGCTGTCCAACAATCTCGAGTGCTCTATCAAACGTCCAGCCAGCCATCAGAGCTGTCAATCATCCCCCCCCTCCTCCGCACACAGAGCAGTCAGCCAGCATTAAGGTTAGACAGCCAATCCACCAAACCAGTCAGTAAAAGCTCTCTGACTCACCTCCGGGTAGTTCAGCAGGTCCACAGCTCTCTCTCTCTGGGTCGATATCAGCCACCCACAGGGTCTTGGAGCAGCCTTTCCACAGGCCGTAGTGAGCAGTAAGACATGTCTGCAGAGCGAGAATCAAAGAGGGTTTTTTAGACTTTCTTCATCCATCACAGCGTTCAGCCTTTGGCACCAAACAGTCAAGAAGTCATTTCTCTTTTTCCTATTTTAGTCCCCATGTTTTTTTTATGTTGTGTAACACGTTCCTGGAGAGATTAAAACTTCCTGAATGTGTCTCAGTGTCACTGCAAACAGCCTCATGTGGTGCTTTCACACCTGCACAAAACTCCCTGAAAACTCCCTGAAAGCCCTTGTCGACTTTACCCAGAGTTTTTCCTGACAGCCCCAGCGTGAAGTCTGGGTGAGCTGATGTGTAAACAAAGAAGGAAATATTCAGCAAGATGCACAGCATGCAAGTGACAAAGGGTGATGATGTATACGTCCTGCAACCAGCGCACAACCACCAGACCAGCGCCCTGTTGTGTTCTAAAGGTTACAGCTCTTCCAGGAAGTCGCTCTTTTCAGAAAGCTGCAAGCTGCACTAATTGCTAAAATTAGCATCATAATCAAAGACTCTAAATGAACGTATGTATACACTCTTTGTGTCTCGACAAAATGTCTTGTTTATCACTGAGTGTTTTACCTGGTTGTTATAGAAACTCTTGGAGGGCGAAAGCTCCACCCAGAACTCTGTCCCGACCCCGAGGACGGTCAGGACGACGCCAACGATGGCCACGAAGAACGCCAACTTGATCTGGTGACAGAACACAACACAAAACAACTTGGGTATCATTCAATGAAGTCAAGACTTCTTCAAAGCTCAGAAAATGATATTTAAGACTTATTGTAATAACTAGTAATTTTACCATTACTTCTATTTGATTCCTTTAACTCAGAATGTCTAACAGAGTCAAGGGACTGCTTACAGTTACTTACTGTCAAGTTTCAGACATGTCTAAGTTCAGTTTCATCACGTTATGGAGGCGGTGTCTGACTGGTTAAGAGATTGGAGCGGGAGGCTAAACTTGACTATGAAGCTCTATTTAACAACTTGTTTAAGTGCAGCTGCATGCAGTCTCTGTTCCAACTTATATGGTCATAAACTGTGCGCCTTCCTTTAGATGTTTTCTGGGCACATCCATGTGGTGAGGGGCGTAAGCAGGAGATCTATAACCTGGGGGGGGGGGGGGGGGTCACATGAGTAAATCATGAGGATCCCCCAATAAGAGCTCAACAATACCCCGTTTGTCCCTAACCTTCTTCCTGCATTTCCCTCTATCCCATTTTTCGATCCTGGCGCAGTCTTTGCAGACGGCTGGTCGTCATGAGTCTGGTTCTGCTTCAGGTTTCTGCCTCTTCAAGGAAGTTCTTTTACTATTCTCTGTAACTTTGCTAAATGTTGCTAAGTGCTCATGATGGATTTGAATGTGAAAAATATAAACCAAAGGTCGAATGCAGTTCTTCGACATTAAGGAAGTAAAACTTTCTGTAACCTCTGAAGTAATCTGACTTTGTTCAGTGTTGATGGTCGCAATATATTTTCAAAGATGGATTTCTGGGCTTTTAATGCCTTTCATTTTTAGAGATAGGACAGTGGATAAAGTCTAGCCAGAGAGAGAAACGACATGCGGGCCGGACTAAAACCTGGGTCACCCACATCCCGTTGGGGCGAGCGCACTGACTTCCAGACTCACCCTGCTCATGTGGTCCGCTCAGGTTGTTTTAGGTAAAATAAAAGCTTGCCTGCGAGCTCGACTCAAACGTTTAGGTTGCTGCACGCATTCCTGCTGATGCAGCACAATCTTTTTTTAACCGTCCTCGAGAACAAGACCCGAGATATTTGAACTCCTTTGCTCGAGGAAGAAGCTACGACCCGGAGGGAGCAGTTTTCAGGTTTCTGTCAGAGAGCTTCAACGTCTGACTCGGAGGAGCTGACTTTTAATCCTGCGACTTCTCACTCGGGTCCAGTTTGAAGATACCAAGAAAGAAAAATTGTCTTCAAAACTTGTCCCTAAACATAATGAAAGTTAAGTTTATTTTCCTGAAAGCCGTTACCTTCCCTTCCTGCGCCTCACTCATGGCGTGCCCTGTCGATGTTGTCCTGCGACGCTTGTTCCCTCCAAAGGTACTCCGTCCACTCATCAGGTTTGTCAGACCCACCGGACCCTGGGATGGTCCTCCTAGTGCGGCGCCCCCCACCGTTCCTGCTGCTGCAGGACTCACCGTGCGGCCTTCCTCATCGGTCACCAGAAAGGTCGACCACATTTTGTGACAATGTTGAAAAACAACTAGAAACAGCTGAGCGGACTTTCAGGTCGGCCGTCGAGTTGTGGATGGGATCTTGGTGAGGGGAAAACTTCAGTGTTTCTCAATCAGTTCCCATAAAGAAAACCAGGAAATGACTTCACAAGTTATTAAATTAATTATCAAACGAATGTTTATCCAACGGTGAGAGAGGAGAAGAAGAGCGATACAGAGGTAGAACGATAAACTGAAAAAATATACATAAAAGTTTGTGATTAGAAAAACAAGCTGGATAGAAAAAACAGATGAAAAGTTTGAGAGTCTCGTTGGTGTCACCAACTCAACAAAATGTCTTGACAAACTTTAACAGGAAGAGGCAGAAAGCAGCCATCTTCTGTGAAAGAGCTGAATAAAAAAAGGCGGCTTTGAGGATGGATGAAAAACTGCTAAAAAAGTCATAATGAAAAAAGACAATTAGAGAAAATTAGAGAGGAAGACAGTGAGAGTCAGAAGGAGGTGGGTGAAGGGATGCGTCCTGCAGAAGACAAAGAAAGGAGGAGGAAAGTCGAGGAGGGAAACTTTTTTATAAACTTAAACAAACACAAATGAACTGCAGGTGCATGTTGAAGATTTCATGGTGCAGATATCAATCAGGAAAAAGTGCATGAATGCTGTTAAGCAGAGAGCATTTACTATTGAATAAAGTAGTGTAGTAGCACCATGCAGTAACACGCTTTTCATGCAGGCTGAGAGCTGGAGCTGAGGAGGGTTTTAAGCCTCTTGACAAACAGTTACACCGCGCCCACCTGTCAATCAGGTCGGACAAGTACGCGCCTAAATATCCTTAAAGAAATCAAAACCCATGAGTATTATAAATATCCAGCCCCCGTACAGTGTGTGCCGATGAAGACAATAACTAACCAACATATGTTGAAAGCTTCTGAATATGAATCTGGCGTTTGAAAGGAAGAATGTTTGTCTTTTTGATCCAGTAGATGTCGCCCTTGAGATCAAGCATGAAACCAAAACAAACTGCTGTTTGGCCACGCCTCCTCCATCCTGAAGCCTCCGCCCTCCTCCAGAGACACACCTCCAACCCCCCTCCACTAGCGTTTCCAAGAAGGAGTTTAGCCCAAGCGGTGGACAAAGTTCTCCTTGTCTCGAGCTGCAATCACCTGTGTCCTGCATTGTTGTGTCAGCATGCTAATGTTAGCGCTCTTTAGTCAGCTCGTAGCTTCACATTGTTGTGTTAGCATGCTAATGTTAGCGCTCTTTAGTCAGCTCGTAGCTTCACATTGTTGTGTTAGCATGCTAATGTTAGCGCTCTTTAGTTAGCTCGTAGCTTCACATTTCATGTAAACTGACACAGAATGAGCGTGATCTAAAAACTCTTACTAACATCCAAATAATCAGTGAGTATGTTCTTCTTCTTCTCTCTAGTTCTTGACTAAAACAGCTTTTATACACAAGGGGAGGAGCCGGCCGTCCCGTCCATGTAAACACGGCTCTGACAACAACACAGCCAGCGGGACTCGAGCTTCTCCCTCATTGTAGACAGTCAGGACTCAGAGACACATTTACACAGGACAGACTGGATCTCTGATGTATTTATGTGGAACATGTGGCACATTCATCCTTTGAATGTTGTGTCTAATGTTTGGATTTCTTGTCTTGAATATTTATGTCGCAAATGGAGCCGCTGTGATGCAAGACAAATGTCAGACTTTGACAGAGAAGTTGTATCGATCGATCGATCTGACAGAGTTGCAAAAGGGGAAACTCGGGGCGTAAAGGTCGAGGAGTAATATATTCCAGAGATTGAAACCTCTGAGTCTCTGACAAAAGGAAAGCAGAGAGCACGTCTGCTCTACCTTTTGTCATTAGCAAGAGAAGCAATAAAAAAAAGCACTTAGCAAAGTGGAATCACAACCAATTATCTATTTTGAGAAGTTATGTGACAGCCAACACAGAAAAAAAAACACTCTGCATACTGACTCGTAGCCCGCCGTCTATTCTGAGACACTTTGTGCTACCTCAGCGGCACAAAAACACTCATCATGTTCAAGCCGGAACCAATTATCTGTTCCGAGAAGCTCTGCGGTGGAGAAGTCCCGCGGATACGTCGGCGATGAACTGAATCTTAAAACCTTTTTATGCTCGAGGGGCGAGCGGAGCAGCTGTCCTGCGGCGCTTCAGCAGCATCGTGTCGACAACAGACGTGACATGTAGCCCGCCGTCTTGTTAGCAAAAAATGAAAAACATCCCCCCGGGGAGAAACACATAGCTTCACTTGCACATCGCTGTTAACAAGCTCACAAGCTGTGGACGGTCAGAGTGGGACCTCCTCTCTTTCTTTCCATGACATAAATAAAAAACTACAAACAAGCTCGTCTTCTTATTACAAAAGTAAGAATCTCTCAGATGTGTCGTTTAATCTGCAGAAAGTACACCAAGAAAGTCCAAAGACTTTCAAACTTTTCATACTCAATGAAGAGTAAATCATGAAGTCTGTCCTGTGTAAATGTGTCTCTGAGTCCTGACTGTCTACAATGAGGGAGAAGCTCGAGTTCCGCTGGCTGTGTTGTTGTCAGAGCCGTGTTTACATGGACGGGACGGCCGGCTCCTCCCCTTGTGTATAAAAGCTGTTTTAGTCAAGAACTAGAGAGAAGAAGAAGAACATACTCACTGATTATTTGGATGTTAGTAAGAGTTTTTAGATCACGCTCATTCTGTGTCAGTTTACATGAAATGTGAAGCTACGAGCTAACTAAAGAGCGCTAACATTAGCATGCTAACACAACAATGCAGGACACAGGTGATCGCTGTGATTGCAAAAGTCAAAACCTTCAAAGTGATGTGCGTGCACTGAGCCAAAATGGCCGCATCAACATTATTAAAAACCACAACCGTCACAGCTGCCTCGAGGTTAGAAGAATAACGTTAGTGGTCAAGAGAAGGGTAAAAAAAAAAACACCACTCTAATGTCTAACGCTGCTGTCCTTACACACCAAGACTGAACACGGCTCTCCTTATACGGCTTCCCATTGGACGCAGGAGAGAAGCAGCACGAGGAAGAAAGTCATCACAGCCACCATGAGCGGCGTCAAACCGCCTTCAACAAGTTCACCGTCTTAAAATATCCTCCTCGCTGTAACACGGTTTAAAGTCCTGAGGAGGAACTTCCTGTGTTGAGCTTCAGTCTATAAACACTCTACGATTGAAGACCCCCACGCCCCCACGCCCCCCACGCCCCCCCACCCCTAAAGAGTGCAGCAGCAGCCACAGAACAACATGCTGAACTCAGACTCATTCGTTTTATTCTCTCACTCTTTAACACGTGCTGCTGCGAGCACGCCTCACAACGCTCGCCGCCACTTCACACAATATCACAACAATGACAGTAACAAGTTGCTGACCTGCTTTTTGTGTGTGTGCTTCTGCTCGCAGTGACGGAGGGTGAGGAGAAGAGGCGAGGCGAGGAGAGGAGAGGAGAGGGAGTGAGTGAGCGAAGGGGAGAAAGGTGGACGAGTGAGGGAGGGGTTAAAAAGAAAAAGGGAGGGCGGAGGTCGTATTAGGACTTAAGAGAGAGTAAGTGTGTGTGGAGGTGAAAAAGACATCAGCTAAACGCCTCTGTGTGTGTGTGTGTGTGTGTGTGTGTGTGTGTGTGTGTGTGTGTGTGTGTGTGTGTGTGTGTGTGTGTGTGTGTGTGTGTTTGTGTGTGTGTGTGTGTTTGTATACCTGTGCATATGTACATATAGGTTTGCAGGAATACTCACTTGTGTGTATAAATGTGTGTGTGTGTGTGTGTGTGTGTGTGTGTGTGTGTGTGTGTGTGTGTGTGTGTGTGTGTGTGTGTGTGTGTGTGTGTGTGTGTGTGTGCATGCCTTCGTATTGGTTTGGAAGGCTCATGTGTATGTGTGTGTTCTCTAAGCCAGATTTCTGAAATGTGTGTGCGTGCCTGTGTGTGTGCGTGCCTGTGTGTGTGTGTGTGTGTGTGTGTGTGTGTGTGTGTGTGTGTGTGTGTGTGTGTGTGTGTGTGTGTGTGTGGTATGCAGTCACACTGTAGCTTCTGAAAGTGAATCTGTTTGTTTATGCTAACGTGGACAGTTGTGCTGGACTCCTCTCTCTTAGCCTTTCAGTGTGGAAATGTGTCACACCAATTACACACACACACACACACACACACACACACACACACACACACACAGCTTCAGCTCCTTAACTGTGTGTGTGTGTGTGTGTGTGTGTGTGTGTGTATGTGTGTTTAGTTATGCCTCCTATCTATTTTTGCCCCCCACCTGTTAATGACATTAAAGCCGACCCGGGGGAACGGGCTGCAGCGGCGGCGGGGTGGGGGGGGGTGGGGGTGGGGGGGGGCTGCTGTCAGCTCCACGCTGGCTGTGAGACTCACGTCTGAGGCCATCCGCTGATTGAAGAGGGAATTGGAGAGTCAACACCTCGAAAACAAGACACGCTGCTGGTTGGCCGGTGTTCGGCTCTCTCACAGTCTGATGCTGGAGAGGAGAGGTCTTTACACGTTCAGGTCCAGGACATCTGTGTAAAAATATAATGAGCATGTGATGAAGTCCTTGTTGATAAAGTTCCGATCCAGAGAGGAGATGACGTCTCTAGTTGCAGGAGAAGTCACGAGCTGTGTCCCGCTTCAGGGTGTAGGGGGGTCAGCCTTCGTAGGCAGCTTGCGTCACCAGCTGTTCCCGCCCTTACCCCTTTGTTGCTAAGAAACCACCACAAGATCTCGCTAACATAACTAACGTCACAAAACTTACAGTATTAGTGTAAAGATCATTTCAAGTTTAAAGAACTCTTTGCTTTTTTTGTTTTGCTTTTTTAAATTAGCAGTGTTAGCATATATGCTACATGCACTTCCGAATGAGTCTCAGGGTACATCGGTAGGTGAAGTATGCAGCAGATGAATCCATCGATGGCGGGGTTAAAGCAGGATGCATTAGCCTCAAGAGCCTTTCCCAGTTTGACAGCCTTCGATGCAGCGCTGTGAAGTAATCGGACTTTGAACGCCTCCTCCAAAGAAACCTTAAACCTTCCCTCCTTTTCCCCCCGTGCATCTACAAACCTCTTCCAACTTCCCCCATCAGCCTCACGCCATAAATACCCAACCATTTCTTTTGTTCCTTTGCCAGATAATTCCGTTCACTGTTTAACTGACATCAACTTTGAGTTTTTTGGAGTGTTTGCATGAAGCGTTTGGTTTGTGCGCTGAGAAGAAAAGTGCTGCACGTCCGTCCTGTCTCCATGACAACAGTCTGTTGACAACGGCCGCTGCATGCCCGACACTGCTCTGTTACTTTTTACTGCATGTTTTATATTTGAGATCGTTTATTTCCCGATCAGACGCAGAGCGAGGAGGATGTGGGGACAAGACACGATCTGTAGGAGGTTAAAAATACGGGGAATATCAAACATGTGGGAAAGAGCGCCAGTGATGTCAACAGCGCCTTTCTGAAAAGTTGAAAGATATTCAAATTGAGCACTCGGAGCGGCCACGTAAAAAAAAGTTGAAACTCTCAGTAATAAGACGCTGGGCGCTGCGCTTCTTCATCCAGGCGGACGCTTTCTGCTGCAAAAAACACTAGGTGGACACAGGGCCTCACTGTACCTTCTGTATACTTCAAGTCCTGTCTGCTGTGTTCGTTTCTTTGCATTAATCATCTGTTCTCTAATATTTCTAACCTCGCACCAAAACAAAAATCTGTCCATGATTTATTTAAATGTGTGTAAAGGTAGCTGATAGGTTATTGAGAAATGCACAGCCTTTGTTTGTCTGCAAACGACAGCTTGAGCGACTCTTTAAGAGCTCAGATTTTTATTTAACCGTCAAATATCTCCCTGCACATTATCGTCCCGTTTAAAGAACAAATGTAGCCATGAATTGAGCGATGACAAGCTGTCCGATCGTTTCAGAAGTGAGCAGCCTGTTTGTAACGTCTGAGCTGTGAAATATCCTGTTAGTGCTGCGTGTCCCTCGGTGATTCATTTACTGTGGGTGTGACGACTCTGACATGAGCATTATGATACTTGTGCTGAAAATGTGAGAGCTTAACTGACGCATTACTGCTCTCCACAGTCCTATCCAACCACGGGATGATATCCATTTAACTTGGAGGACCTCTTAGCAGGACTCATAGAGACAAAACATCCAGAAAGGATGAGGACTCTTTGACTAAGCTGAAACTGATATAAATATCATAGAGGTGTTTCCTCGAACGCTTTGTCGTAGTCGGTCATTAATTTCACTACAGTTCTACAATTCATTTATCAAACATCAGAGAGTAAGAACAACACAAACGAGGAGGAAACAACGACAGGAAGTGAGCAGAGACAGATCACAGGTGCTTACAGGAAGTGACCAGAGGCAGAGCACAGGTGCTGACAGGAAGTGACCAGAGGCAGAGCACAGGTGCTGACAGGAAGTGACCAGAGACAGAGCACAGGTACTGACAGGAAGTGACCAGAGACAGAGCACAGGTGTTGACAGGAAGTGACCAGAGGCAGAGCACAGGTGTTGACAGGAAGTGACCAGAGACAGAGCACAGGTGTTGACAGGAAGTGACCAGAGGCAGAGCACAGGTGCTTACAGGAAGTGACCAGAGGCATTCCTCCATGGTTCATAGAGAAGGTCTGAAGTGAGATTAGCAGCTTTATTATCTGGGTTTTCTTTTTTAAATATTTATTTTTGGGCCTTTATTGGAGAGATAGGACAGTGGAAAGAGTTGGAATTCACGGAGAGAGAGTGTGGGGAACGACATGCGGAAAAGGACCCTAAGGTCAGATTTGAACCTAGGCCGCCCGCCCTGGAGGACCACAGCCTCTTTACATGGGGCGCGTGCATCAACCACTGCGCCACCAGCGCCTCTTATCCAGGGTTTTCTGTATTTTATATTTGATTTTAATTGGTGCTCAGTGAACTCCTCGACCTTTACATCATATTTAAATTTCCAGTGACTTTAAAAATCACCATAAAGTACAGCACAGCTTAACTTTGTGACCTTTTATTTAAAACTTAAAACTACACATGGCTGTGCCTCGGCTGGCTGTCAGCTTTGTTCAAGGACAAATAGACGTCCAGTGTTCAGGGAGAAAGACTCCCAGTTCACCCAGCCAATCAGTGGATATGAACCAGTGGCCTTGTGCTTTGTGACTTCTTCTCAGCATGATATTAGCTTTCTATACACGCAGGTGTTTAAATATTTAAAAGGATCAACACGGGACTAAATCTGCCTTTTCATTGGTGCAATAGTGCAATATTGAGCAGCAACCATGAGATGGCACCACCATGGCATGTGTGGAGGATAAGGGTGGGGGGGTCCGATGATCTGCTCTGATCCCTCAGACCGCAGAGAGTCAGGACCCTGCAGTCGTGAACTTGTGTGTTGCAGTGAGCTGGGAGGAGATTACAGCAACATGGAGGACCAAGAGGATTCAGAAGACCTGCTGGGACCGAGCAGCCGTCAGTCCGGCTTCATGTCTGCAGTATGACGCTCTGCACCATCACTGTCACACATGAGAATATACAAACTGTCAGAACCAGTCAGAGGGGAGGGAGGGGGGAGTTCTGCAGAAGTGTGGAGAGGACAACTTTATATGTTTGTATCTTTTTAACACAGAAGCAATTCAAAGGTTTTTATACAACAGTGAAATAAATGTTGCAAAAGGTTGCATTTCATTGTCTGAGGATGAGCAGCTCCAAAGTGTCCTTACAGGCCTCCAGGGACTGCACCCTGTTTTATTCACTCGAGTGTTGCTCCACTGAGAACAACTAATCTGTGTTGAAATCAAAGAAACAGACAAAATAAACCTCCATTATCCCTTTCATGGAGGACATCGATTCAAAATCTGTTTTTGACTTAATGGATGAGATTTTATGGAAAGGCTTCACATCGACCACTTCCTTAATGAGGATCCGATACACTGCCCCCTATTTGCCAACTGTGGTAAGTGTACCAAAACTTCTAAATCTAAATCAAGATCAAACGGTCGAGGTAGTTTCTTTTAAAAAAAGTGTAATTCTCATTTCCTCTTTTATTTTACCCTCGCCTCCATCTTGCAGATCCTGCTCCTCATGCTTCCCGCCTTGTGTGTTAGCCTCGCCCTGATTGTGCTCACCTGCATCTCGTTACGATTGTCTGTGGATGTAAACCCGTGTGTGTCCTCCCGCAGACTCAAGTGTTTGATTTCATGCAAATCTCTCGCCCACTTCAAGGAGGAACTCCACGTTTTCTTCTCGTCCAAGATCTTCTGAAGCTGAAACAGAAAAAAGTATCAACTATGTTCAAACCTTCATTATGTTAACATCTAAAGAAACAAAAGCTTTTTTTTTATTCTTTGGACATCAAACAGCCGGCTCCAGACACACAAGTATTCGAAATGTCTCGCTAACTTAAGGAAAGGTTGAGCTTTGGAAGCTT